AGCCATTCTTTTTAGGTGACAAATCTGTGGAACTGTCTCAGATTGACATGCCAATAAAGGAGGTTTTGGAAAAAATTGATAAATTAAACAGTAATAAGTTACTAATACAAGATAGTCTTCACCCAAGAGTTCTGAAGGAACTCAGATATAAAATCACAGAACTATCACTTCAAACAGTCTCTATACCAGATGACTGGAGGATAGCTAATATAAACCCAATTCTTAAAAAGGGCTCCAGAGGTGATCCTGGCAATTACAAGCCCATAAGTTCAACTTCAATACCAGGCTAATTGGTTGTAGTAAAGAATAGAATTATCAGATACATGGATGAACACAGTATGTTGGGGAAGACTCAACATAGCTTTTATGAGGGGAAATCACTCGTCACCAATCTATTAGAGTTCTTTGAGGTCAAGCATGTGGATCATGGTAACCCAGTTGATACAGTGTACTAGGACTTTCAGAAAGCCTTTCACAAGGCCCACACCAAAGATGCTTAAGCAAACTAAGCAATCATGGGATAAGAGGGAAGGTCCTCTGATGGATCAGTAAATGGTTAAAAGATAGGAAACAAAGGGAAGGAATAAATTGTCAATTTTCACAGTGGAAAGAGATCCCTGCATCCCCTAAGGATCTGTACTGGGACTGTGTTATTCAGCATATTCATAAGTGAGCTGGAAAAGGGGGTAAACGGTGAAGTGGCAAAGTTTGCAGATGATGCAAAATTACTCCAGATAGTTAAATCCAAAGCTGACTGCAAAGAGTTACGACTGCAAAAGCGATCTCACAAAAAATTGTGATGAGGTGACAAAATGGCAGATGAAATTCAATGTAATGCACATTGGAAAACATAATCCCCCCAACTATAAATATAAAATGAACAGGTCTAAATTAGCTATTACCACTGAAGAAAGTGATTTTGGAGTCACTGTGGAGAATTCTCTGAAGGCATACACTCAATGTGCAGTGGCAGTCAAACAAGCTATCAATGTTAGGAACCACTAGGAAAGGGATAGATAATAAGACAGAAAATATCATAATGCCACAATATATATCCATGGTACGCCCACAGCATAATTATTGCATGCAGTTCTGGTTGTCCCATTGCAACAAAGATATGTTAGAACTGAAAAGGTTACATTTAAGGGCAACAAAAATTATTAGGAATATGTAATAATTTCTATGTGAGGAGAGTTTAAAAAGATTGGGACTGGTCAAGATGAGAAAAGAGATGTCTAAGGAGGAATATGATAGAGGGTTATAAAACAAAGAATGGTGTGGAGAAAGTGAAGAGGGAAGTGTTATTTACCTCTTCACTAAACATCTGAACCAGGGGTCACCTAACAAAATTAATAGGCAGCAGGTGTAAAACAAACATAAATATTTCTTTGCACAATGTACATTCAACCTGTGGAACTTGTTGCCAGGGGAAGTCCAAAAGTATAATGGAATTCAAAAAAGAATTAGATAAGTTCATGGAGGGTAGGTCCATCAAAGTCTATGAGCCAAGATGGTCAGGGACACAACCCCAGCCTCTGGGTTTCCCTGAACCTCTGACAGCCAGAAGCTGGGACTGGGTGACAGGGGATGGATCACTTGATAATTGCCCAGATCTGTTCATTCTCTCTTAAGCATATGGCACTGGCCACTGTCAGAAAACAGGATACTGGGCTAGATGGACAATTGATCTGAACCACTATGGTCAATCTTAAATTCTTACAGACTGGGTTAGTATATACCAGCCCCAACATCAGGGGACGAAAAAAGACACCTTTGTGTCAGCCTCCCTTAATTTGTGCCAATCCCTCAGCCACAGTTGGGCATCTGGCCCTGAAAGTTTAAATGTTCCCAAATGATTTCAGCTGAGATTGGAATCTGTATCTTTTTTTGGGAGGTGAGAGGGGGCATGGTCATATACATATTAATTATTTTGCAATTAAACCACCATTTTACTTAAATAAGTGTTTGTTTCTCAAATAATAATGCATTAAAGGATTAATAAGAGAGCCCTACCCAATGAAAAGTCTTGGCAGTCCTCTCCACTTGGTCCCCCAACACTGTCATAACCTGTCTGGCATGCTTGACTCAACTCTGATGTCAAGTGACTATGAACTCTGCCCAAGGGCACTAATACTTGCCACTGCTGAAATCCCAATACTGACCTCTGTGATGACAGCAGAAGTTGTGTTAGAAATAGAACTGCATTTATCAAAGTGCAAACCTGAAGCGATTGTCCGAGTAATCTCCCTCTCTCCGTGTTCATATATGAACAATTTAGCATCTTCCGTTTCACCACCACTAGCTAGAATCTCAGTTCTATTGCCAGCCAGGCCATTTTCAATAATAAGACTGTGAAATTTCCAGTAATGTAGTCCTGGGTTTCCTGCCACTAGGTAGGAGACTAAGTAAGGAAAGTAAATTACAGTGCTACAGCTGTTGTCCTTCATCAGAAATAATGGTAAAATGGGTCCCTTTTGGCATGCTTTTCTGAGCAGCATATCAGTAGCTACTGTGGATTAAAATATATGAAAGGCACCTCCATAAATTATTAGTATGACTATTAAGCATAAATGATATTTATTATTAATTGTGCTGTGGTATGCACAATTAAAATACTATATGTTCTTTAAAAGAAATAGAGATTCTGAGTTCTTTAAACTGCAATGACCTCTGCTATGTACGTGCTATAGTGAAGATATACTGAGATTCGACTTTGCATGAGGAAAACCTTGCAGGTAAATTTAATATGAGTTGGGATAGAACTGGTCCAGAAAAGTTTAACTAAGTTACCTCTATGTTAGTGTGGAGTGGGAAATTTATCTCCTGGTTACCTCAGGGAATTGGAGGTCAGCAGGACTCCTGGCATCTCTTCTCAGGTCTGACACTGATCCTGTAGGTAGCCTAATTTAACCTGTCTGTTTACCAGTCTGTGAAACTTCCATAATAAAAACTTACCTAACTCTCAGGTGTGTCATCAGGATTGATTAATGTTTGTAAAAGGGCTTTTGCTGCACTGACCGATACGCAATATGCTTAGCCACTCCGTGGCAAGCATGACCAGTCAAAGTGAGACTACAACGGGCTCCAAAGGCAGTCCTGTCTCAGGCCCTGATCCTGCACATTAATGGCAAGGTGAGATTTGCCATTGACTTCAATGAGCCCAGGGTCAAGCCCTTAAAGTAGGAGTGTTATTATGACACAGGGTCTTGAGGAAAGTGGGAAGTCTTTTTCTGAGAACCAGGCTTGCAAAGCAATCTAGGCTGAAAGCAGATACTTTATCTTGTGTGAGGAAAACACCACATAGTTTCTATCTAACTGAATCTGTCCAAGCACCTATGCCATAGTATTTGAGCCAGTACAGCAACCTCAGAAATACCAGGGAGCTATCTCCCTTTTTAAATTGCCGTTAGCAATCTTTTCAAAAAGCTGTTGCATGGAGCACAACAATGAGCTTTTATCTGTTTATAAGCTTTATCTTTTTATTCTTTTTATATTTGATTAAGTGTCAAGTGTTAAATCCTGCATCTATCTTTTATAAATATCTTTCTGTCAACTGAAACAGTATTTTAGGTTGTTGGGGTTTCTTTGTGTTTTGATCTTGGTCTCTTCATAAGGAATAGCCTCACTTCCTGACTTGAGAGAGTGATCAAATTCTTCATTTGTCAAACTTTATTTTTGGCATTCAACCTTCACCTCTTGTCGTAATCTGTTGTACCATTTTCCACGCAACAAGGTGACTTCATTTAAGTGGAGGGTGAAACGATTCCTTTCTATGCAAAATGATTCATATATACATGTTGTTTGCCAAGCACTTAGGGATCCGTGGAAATGAAAGGTTTTATATAAATGTAAGCACTTATTTCAGCAAGATGTGACTTCAATAAGACAACAAAGACAACTTTTTCTCTCTACTTGACATTCTTCTCAAGGTTCATGTTGTTGGCGAGGCTGCATTTTGTAGAAATAAGCAACATACAAATCAAACCTGAGCTCTGGTCTGAAATACAGTAATTGAGATATTGTTGCATAATGTGTTTATCAAGTGACTATGTGTCAAAGCGAACTTCTGGGACAACTTCAATGCAGATAATTTTTGCTGGATTAGAATACATGCTCTTAGGAAGAAGAGCTAGTTTTAGGGGGAAATGTTATGTTCCTTTTTTTATTTTCATTGACCTTGGCGATCACTTTATCTGGAGAAAACCTACATTTCCTCCACAAGTAAGGATAACACAAAACTTGGAATCATGACTCCTGAATTTCTCCTTCCACTTGTGCTACAGATTCTCTGTGACTTTGAGGAAGCCACTTAACTTCGATAAATTGCCCCAAATCTGGTCCTTAGTTAAGTGCCTCAGTGTACACTTTTGAAAATCTGGCCCCATTTGTTGGTGCTGAGAAGTTGATACTCAGGCTCTAAGCTCTTTCAAACATGTGTCTCCCAATATATATCTCCCGTCATCTAGCAGGTGATTGCATGTGTGTGTGTGTGTGTGTGTGTGTGGTCTGAATGGATTACTACTCAGACCTTAGAGAACTTTATCTTGTAAATAAAGCTGCTAACAGTGCAGCAAGGGACTGTGTTATTGGGGTGGGGGGTATGGAAAAGCATGATAGCCTGCCGATGCTAAAGATTATTTTCCTGTCTAGGAACTTGTTCACATGAGATCTCCTTTAGAGTCACTGATTTACGCACACTGAAACTCAGATGCAGACTGTGAAGTGACAGACCTGGCAGAAGATAGCCAGAGGCTGCCAGAGCTTACTGCATAACATGGCCACTTCAAAGCTAGCATCAACCTAGTAATAAACTTAATGAAGCGCTGTGCCTGTAGGAAACAGGGAGTTTTACATACTTGATTGGCACTTTCTTGTGAGTAATTTATTTCACTGATCTCTGCCAAATGTAGACTTAGAAAACTAAGAAGCCCGAGTGAAAATTACTGACAAGCTTTTAGAATCCCTAGTAAACATACTTCTAAATGTGGTTTGCTAATTAAGAAGAAAATAAAGTGCCTACATAATGTAACTGAATGACAAGCAGCTGGTTTAGAAGACTTCTAGTGTAATTGTCTGTTCTTCCTTTCCCTATGTTCAGCAATCTGCTTGGAACGTGTAAGGAGGAGCACAGGTTGCAGAATGGAAGAGTCTGGAAGAGGCACCAGTAAGTTATTCTGTATTCAAGTTTCTAGAATACCAGCTCCAGTTGCAGCACTTCTGTAAATAGCTTTCTTAATAAAGAGCCAGCTTATTACAAGCCTGGCATCCTCTCCTGTTAGTATCTAGCATGCAGTACATGAAAAAAACTATAGACAATGGGCCACATCATCAGTCCAACTGTAGCTATTTTGCACTGCTCAGGTGGCAAAAAGGACTAAAAGGCCAGCGTAATAAAGAACCTCCAAGTGGTATAGAATAAGATTTGTGACTCTTTACCAGTACAATCTATTGTAGCTGGTGTAGTCCAGGGGAAAATGTGTGGCCAGAGCACCGCTGTTGTCCTGTAATTCCCTGACTGCTGGATTGTGCACCTTAGGGCCATAAGCACAGAAGCAGAATTTTACTTTGAGCATTTAGATTTCTGTCTGTACATTTGGGAGTTTCCACTTTTTACATCCTTATATTAAGGTGGAAATAACATTTGAGTTGAAGATTAGTTTGATCTTTAAATTGTAGATTTTCAACGACCAAATCTTGTTTGAGCTGGTGAATGCAGCTGCTGTCTTCCCAATTCATGATATTATTTCCTTCTGGATATCCCCATGGGCTTGCATGTTACTGGCAAGGTATGGGAATTGACTCCCCTTGTGCATTCCTTTGCCTTCCAAAGTAATGCTTCAATTGGGATTTTCAGGCTTTCTCATTAGATTTGTTTCTTCAGAATCTATTATTAACCCCATTCATTTTTCAATGCTGAACAGTCGTTTGATTTTTGCTTGCATGTTGGTTGATCTATTACTTAGATGAGCTATGCCAAATGTTTTAGTGTACTGTTTTTGACCCACAGATCCTTATTTTACACCAGTGTCTGTTAAACCATTCACAAAAGTCTGCATTTACCTTAAGTATGCAATCTGTGGCTTGATATAAAGATGATATTAATTATTTTTCTTGGCATATCATAACAGTTCAAGATGTTTCAGAGTGAATTTAGATTGAGGCTGTCAAATGCTTTCCTAAGAAATTTATAAGAAGTGGGTTTTGCCATTCAACATTCTTTGATTATGCTTAGGGTGAAAATTTGATAGACCCATGATCTTCTGGTTCAAAATCCAAAGTCTGCTCTTCCCTTAGCTTTGCCTCAATCACTTTATTTTTATTCTTCTTAAGATGATACTGTTGAAGACTTGGCCTATTATTGAAAGGAGTGTAACACATTGCCAGTTGTTGTAGTTGGTTTGGTAACCTCTCTTTGGTATTTTCATTATAATTCCATTTTCATTATCCTGGAGCTTTTCCTGGACCCATACTTTGTTGAAAAGTTCAGTGATTTTATTGATGCCCTCATCATCATAAGCTTTAAATGTTTCCATAGTGACTTGGTCTTAACTAGCAGCATTCAGAGGTTTTAACTTTTTTATTGTCTCTCTTCTCTTTGTGATGTGAGATGTCATGATGTGGAACTATTACAATTGCTCTGAATGTAATTTCTTTGTGGGTGTCATTAGTTTTTTGTATTTCCTCTTGTTTCTTCTTCCTTTGCTTTTTACAGCTTTTCCCCTTGTTATCTTCAGATTTTTTGCTACTTCTTTTTCTGGAGATGTTTTTGAGGAGTTGATGTTTTACTTTGGCTCTTAACGAACTGTAGTTATAGTGGTATCTATTACACTGTACTGTTATACAGATGGGACCATAGTGTGTAAAAGTTGACTTCTTGTGATGGATCTATAACTCATGGCACCTGAAATCTGTTCTTCAGTTCAGTTTGAAATTCTTCTATAATGTTTGTCTGCTAGCCTTTTGCTGTCAATTTTCTTGGTGCTCTTGTTTTTCTTAAGTTTGATCTTCAGTGTTGCCACACAAATTGTGGTCACTTCCATCCTCAGCACCTCTGTATGCCCTGACATCCTGGAGAGTTGATCTAAATTTCCTTCCTGTATATAGTTGGTCAGTCTGGTTCCTGGTGACTCCATCTGGGGAATTCCAAGTTTCCTTATGGATATCTTTGTGTGTGAATAGTATTCCTTATAGATATCTTTGTGTGTGAATAGTATTCCACCAGGTAGGAGTCCAGATACAAGACAGTTTTACCAGTCTCTCACCTTTCTGATTTTGGGATCCAATTCTCCTTCCTCATCACCTTCTCCACTCCACTGTTGTCATCCTCAACCTTGGCACTGAAGTCCCTCCCTTCTAAGCGATGCCATGCTTGGAAATATTTTCAATCAGTGTGTAGGCAATTGTCAAACTGATCTTTGATCTCATCATTGTAGTTGTCTGTTGGTGTGTGACTCTCTATAATTGTCATAAAGAAAAGGAGTACTTGTGGCACCTTAGAGACTAACCAATTTATTTGAGCATGAGCTTTCGTGAGCTAGCTCAGCTCATCAGATGCACATCTGATGAAGTGAGCTGTAGCTCACGAAAGCTCATGCTCAAATAAATTGGTTAGTCTCTAAGGTGCCACAAGTACTCCTTTTCTTTTTGAGAATACAGACTAACACGGCTGTTCCTCTGAAACCTATAATTGTCATGTTCATATATCAGGTTTGAAACCTAGCTCGAAGCAATCAGCTGTTAATTGGTTCCCAGTCTATAGCTGATCTTTTTGCTTTGGGAATCATAATTAATTCTATTCTCTGTGAGTGGCAACCAGAATGTTCCAGAAACCTATTTTCCTAGTTTGTTTTAAAATAGTAAATAACTCCTGAGTGTCTTGGCTTCCTGTTGGCTTTCACCAAGACTCCTCATTCCTATGATGATACATTGACAGTACATTTCTTTGACATACTGTTTTCCAGAATGACTATTCTGTTGTGTTTCTATAACTTATTTTTTGTTATGAGGATATGTAAATTGGAGTATCACTCAACTCCCCATCCTGGAGGACCAGTGAATTACTTTTTGTCTGGTCCTCACCTTTTGACCTGCCATTTTGGGTAACACTAGCAGAAGTTAAAACTCCCACCAGCATAGTTCTCAGGGTCATTGGAGCACAGAATCCTTTCCATCATGTCAACTTGCATTCCCCAGGGAAAGAAAACAACTAAATAGAAGTAATAAAAAATTCTTCATCAACATAAACTCAAATAAATTGATCCCATACAACATATGAATAAAACAAAATCTTCCTGATTTCTCCTTAGTACTAATAATTATTAAGGTCTACTTCATCTCAAAACTAGGGATTGTTAAACCAGAGCAAGTAAGCTAAGAGCCAGCCTGAATAGTCACCCAAACTGAGCTTTGAAAATTTCTGATGTTTTCCCGCCATAACTTTTTATCCTGATGCTGTCTCTGTAATTCTTGGTTGTGTCTTGGGGTGGCAGTTCTGAGAAACCATGAGAGAAGCTTTTTATTTATAGTGCTTACACTGAATAATATGTAGTTAAATGTCTGACCTTTGGATACTAATTCAAATTGAATTTGACCTGTTAAGAGCACATGAACCAGAATAAAGAACTCAAACTCCTCCAGTCTTGGGAAGTTTGGATCTGAAGTTTTCAGATAGGAACAATTCTGTTTTTGAGGTTTCACCAATCACTGCAACGTGGATCTTGCTTATTCCAGATCTGGAATCATAGTGCTGTGTCCTAACATGACATTCAAGAGCAGAATAAGGCACAGTCTTTGAGCTATAAACCCATAATAGGAATAAGCTCGGACTCTAGTGAGTCAGAGGAAGATGCAAGGATTGCAGTACAAGGTCCCAGCTGCTTCATGTGGCAGAAAGCTAAAGCTTTCCTCATGTGACACCCATCAGTCTATTCCATTTCTCATCTGAAGGGAGACCAACTCTACAGTGGGGAGAGGAGCTCAGCCTTCATGGTCTAGTCTTCCTATGGTATCTTTGTAAAACTGATTGTATTGAAGGTTTTGTGATATAAGTATTGTGCTTTTTAGTGAGGATCCAAACCAAACCCCTAGATCTGAACAGCTCTAAAATTTGGATTGAAATATGTAAACCTGTAGCTGAACTTTGAAAATGACCTGTTGGCCAAACTTGGACATCACATCTGAACAACCTCAGGCATTAGAGGATTAATGATCTAAACAAAGAGTTGAATTTTTCATCTTGGACATCTTGACCGCTGTTAGAGGGCTCAACACTAATGCTTAACATGCATAAAATTGCCTATAAAATGTGGACAGCCCTTCTCAAAAAAATCTCCACACTCTGGAGAACTAATTTTATGCTGTGGGCCAAATCCACTGCTGATGCAAATGGGTGGACTTCAATGGGTTTTTAGGTATGGACAATAGTAGTGAATTTGGTCCTACTGTAATAGATTCCAGTTCTTTTTTATAATATTCTTCATTGTTCTATAAATATGATTTTTAAGCTGAAGTTATATTTTTCTGTCCTGAATTTAAAGAGAAAATTGACCTTGGTCATCCTCAATATCTCACAATGACCTGATGACTAATCTTTTTTTCTTCTTATACCCTATAAAGAAACACATACAATACACATTTAATAAACAGCTGAAAGACATTACAAACATTTAGGAAAAAAATGTAAATAAGTTTAGTCACCAAAGCAGAATCCTGACATAGCTTCCAGGCTTCTGCAAGTAAAATGAACTTGGTGTGATTAAATGTCAATTATAAGTATAAGCAACTGGAGAAAAAACAAGGAAACAACCTCCCCACCTCAATCAGAGGTTAATAGGACTGTTATATTCACAGAGACTCTATAATTTTGGTCCCCTGTGCATAATTTCATAAATATTTGAAAAAAAAATCAGAGTAAAAATAGTGCATCTTGTGTAATGGAAAAGACAACATTTGGATTTGTTTAAAGTTGAGGAAGAAAGGGGATCAGAGAGCTGGGTAGAAAAGGAGGTAAGAGAAATGATGTAAGCAAATTTGTTGCTTATCCTTGAGGTATGGCAATTAGATGATAGATTAATTTTCTGCTTCAGATGCAAAATACAGAAAAACCCAGGAGAGACATAAAGGAGACAATAGAATAATCCTTACAGTTCTTTCATAGTTTCCAGG